TACGACATCTGTAGACTTTATCCATTTTGCTTATAAACCTCACTCGATTAATAGTCGGATATTATTTGATTTGATTATAAGTTGAGGATCATATAAAAGCTACGTTTTTCACTTCAATTACTTCCAATCTCATATTTTTAACTTATTTTACATTCAATACGGTATCATAGCACGATTTTTTTTAATTATTATTGGTTAATTTGATATGTGTTTCATTGCGAATTCCGGTTCAATTTCACATATTAAAAGAGAGTGTGGTTCTACTTGCACTACAAGGAAACACGAAAAAAGTGACGCAAAAGGTGACGCAAAATTTACGTCACTAAAAAGGTGACGCAAAAGTGACGATTTTGTGACGCAAAAAGTGACACAAGGAAAGCGTCATCAGAGCATCACTAAATAGTGACGCTTTTGTGACGAAAACGCCAGCGTCACCAAATGGTGATGCAGTGATGACGCAAAATTGCGTCGTCAAATAACGCTCGGAAATTTCGTCACCCTTTCGTCATTATTTGGTGACGCAATTACGTCATTATTTTATACTGACGCAATTTCGTCGCAAAAACTTTGGTGACGAAATTGCGTCATTGAGAGTGACGAAATTGCGTCATTAATTGTGTTCTTTAGTGACGCAATTGCGTCACCATATTTATTTTAGTGACGAAATTGCGTCACTCTATTTTCTTTAAACCAGACAACACCCTCATACACTCTTGCACCCGAAAAAAAAACTCAAAAAATGGCATCGAGTAATAACAATATTTATTACTCAAGAAGGATTGACTAATTTTTTGGAGTTTGCAACAAATCAATATATTTTTCTTCAGAGATGAAAGATATATTGTTCGTGCCGAAGATGGAAAAACGAGAGGGAAGAAGTTCCAGAAGTTGTGATGAAACATCTATGGAAAAAAGGTTTTGTCTCTAACTATTACGCCTGGGTTTATCATGGTGAGACGTTTCAAATTTCTGATGAGAATATATCTGTGAGAACTTTAGTTATATATTTAAATATAATAATATATATTTTTTTATTTTATTTTTTTGGGATGAAGCCAATTACGATGGAGAAAATCAAAATTAAATATTTTATATTTTTTTGGTTTTGTAAATTAATTATTTAGAACTTTAATTATATATTTAAATATAATAATATTTTTTTGTTTTATTTTTTATTTTATTTTATTTTTTTTATATAGTGATGCAATTGCGTCACAAATTTGGTGACGACTTGCGTCACTCCGTCACAAAATAATAACGCACTTGTTCACGCAATATCGTCACTAATGTATGACGCAATTGCGTCACAAAAAAACGTCACTTATTAGTGACGAAATTGCGTCACCATTTGCGTCACTAACTGGTGACGACTTTGGTGACGTAAAGCGTCACTACTTGGTGACGAAAGATGGTGACGCTTAAAGCGTCATGTATTAGTGACAAAATTGGTTACACAATTGCGTCACCATTTAGTTACGCAAATTCGTCATCGTTGCGTCACTAAATGGTGACGAAATGCCTGCGTCACCCCAACGTCACCAATTGGTGACGCTTGGTGACGAAATCGCAAATGGTGACGGTGCTATTGGTGACATTTTTTTTGCGTCACTATTTCGTCACCCTTTGGAAAGGGTGACGCAAAATCGCCCGATGGTGACGCAAAATTTGCGTCACCATTTCCGTGTTTTTTTGTAGTGTTGAATCCATGCAATATCGAATTTAGAAAATATTCAAATGTATTAGAGGAAACATTCTCTTGTATTGATTCGAATCATTAAAAATGAAAGTTTTTATACAACTCTCGACAGTTAACCAAATTGCACCACACCAAATCAAACCGAACCGATCCAAACCGATCTCACACACTAAATACTTTGTTATATGAGTATTACAACCTATACTACACTGTAGATATTTTCTTTTCACGGTCATCTTTTCGATCCGAATATTAAATTCCAATCGTGGAAAGATCATGTGAAAGTTATTTTCCGGATAATCCATAGTGTAGTGGCGAGAGAGAATTAATGAAGATCATGTGAAATTTTTTGTGACGATTTTGGTGTGGACTGGAACCTTCCCGACAAGAATCTTAAACAAGGATCGCAGTTCTAATTAAGCACGTGTTCTTGGAAACTTCGGTTATAAATATCAACTATTGTACATTCACACAGCAGTCGCAAGTAGATTTTGTTTGGTTCGATAATATTTTATTCGCTTGTTTATGTATAAAATATTTCCTACCGAAACGTATATGTGTTTGTTTATTTAATATATTTTTATAGACGAGACGTACAGTATATTGACAAACAAATCTATGCCATCTCTGTAAATTTGGAAGGCCAATTCAAATTTCCATAAACTTTTTTTTATGTGAATTGTATTTAAAATGTGTCCTAAGCATATCATTTATGTATAATCTAGTATTCATGTATATATGTCTGTAGCTTTTCTACCCAATTTCTATTTGGAGCTAATATTATTTTATACATTGCTTTTTAGAGCTTAATAATAAGCCAATGTAATAACGTATGCTTATATATGATAACATTTTCATGAAATATAATTAATTCTATATGTTGTACTATTTGATAACCAGTCACCTCGAAATTTATCATGTTTTTTAATAATTCATCGGATGATAAAAGAATTTGTCTTTGTCTTTAATTTGCAAATTCTTAATTTTTATTATTTTATAATTAACACATGAGTTATAACGAATTATTTTTAACAAAAAAATATAAAGTTACAGAGCCGAAAAAGGATACTGTTTTTTGGGTAGTTAAAAAATATAAAGGGGACAAGAAAAAGTGATGCTCTTCC